CTTTGGAAGTCTGCATTCAATTTTCTGTAACTTTCCCTGTCTCCCTTGCATTTTGTTTCCCTTCTCTTCTCTGCTTTTTGTAAGGCCTCATTGGACAGCCACTTTGCTTTCTTGCATTTCCTTTTCTTTAAGATGGTTTTTGTTGCTGCCTCCTGTACAATGCAACGAGCCTCCATCCATAGTTCTTCAGGCACTTTGTCCACCAAATCGAGTTCCTTAAATCTGTTCTTCACTTCCACTGTGCAATGGTAAGGGATTTGGTTTAGATTATACCTGACTAGCCCAGTGGTTTTTCCTACTTTCTTCAGTTTAAACTCAAATTTTGCTATGAAAAGCTGATGATCACAGCCACAATCAGCTCCGGGTCTTGTTTTTGCTGACTGTGTAGAGCTTCTCCCTCTTTTGGCTGCAGAGAATATAATCAATCTGATTTTAGTATTGCCTATCTGGTGATGTCCATCCGTAGAGCTGCCTCTTATGTAGTTGGAATAGAGTGTTTTTGATGACCAGCCTGTTCTCTTAACAAAACTCTATTAGCCTCTGCCCTGGCTTTTTTTGAACTCTAAGGCCAAACCTACCTTTAGAATTGCCTACATTGCTTTGAAACAGCTCTATTACCTGCACAGGTACAAGCTTCAGGGAAAAACCAGCATGGGAAATGAGTTCAAAAAGCTGTGGGGGGTCAGGGCATTTGCTAGTCTCCATATGCAGAATACCACGCACACCCAGAGAACTTTCTGTAGACTTCTTACTGCAGCTCCAAGCTGTTGTCAATGTGGATTTTACACGGAATGTGAATGTAAGCTGCGTTCTGCTATGGCTCCCCAACTTTAAGGTGCAGCTTGGCTGGAGATGGTAGAATGTATGGTGGCATTGGGCTGGAGAGTGGGAAAGCTACAAGGGATTTCTACAAGAAATGCAGGAAACTAGTAATTATCCCATACAGAAGTATATTGGTTTCTTTAATACATAGTAATATCAAAAATTCTTGTGAAATCCAAAACTACACCTCTGATTTGAGTCTTTATTTGCCATTTTGCAACTTACTTTTACCTGGCCTGCGCATCTAGGCAAAATTTTTGAAACATTAATGTTTTTCCTGCACCATCCACAGTACTGTGGAGCTCAGCCTGATGAAAACAATGCAGGTTAAATGATAGCATTTGTTTGTGATCTTTTTAGGGGTCTAATAAAGATACTTTTTTGTTACAGTTCTTGTTATTTATTGTTTGGATGAAGACACTTGAGGAGCCATATTATTATTCATCTTGCAAGATCCCCCCCCAACAAAAAAACTTTAGGTCCTTTGAAATTAATTCCTGTTCTAAAAATGTGCAAGCAAACTAAATCCTTGGTTAAGCAAATTCATAATTTCACCTTCAGCAGTTTCAGTTACACAGTTGCCTGTAGATGAAGTCAGGCTTTACACTTTCAATGTGACCAGATTACTACATATGTTGGTCACTAAATGCCTTTTAAAAATCACGCTTAACTGACCTTGGCTTCTGGATCACTATTGATGCTGCAGGAATCATCTTCATCACACTGTGGAGCATTTCTGGTTGAAGGAAAAATGCTACTGTTAGGTTTGAAATGTCAGGTACAAAAGGACAGATCAGCATCTTAAAGTAGAATTTTTAGAATTAACAGCTTTTATTAATTTGCATTTTGGGGCAACATTCACATGATCTGCAAAAGCGTGGCTGGCTCCAGAATTTTGTGGAACTCTATAAATGCAAAATCCAATACAGGAAGACCTCCTTTACATGGAAGAGATTGTTTGTGTGTGTGTGTGTGGGGAGGGGGTAGTATAGTCCACCGGATGTGGTTGGATTCTCCTCTTCTCAGTCATATTAGGTACAACCAATAGTAAGACATGGTGGGAACTGCAACTCAACAATATTAGCAGGATACCATATTTACCTTCATTGCTGAAACATAAGTATAGAGGTAGATATCAAAGCAGGTGCTCCTTCAGTTGTTCTCTATCTAGGTCTCTCTGGGCTTTAGTAGTCAGCACCAGTCCAAAAACACATCAATAGTCAACACAGCTCCTTCAACCCTTTGCTCCAATAATGAAATAAGTACAAATTCTCTTATTATAGGGGACTCTTATTATAGGGGATTTATCTTGGGAGATAAGATTAAAACTAATTGTATTTCCCGTGTTTTTGCAAAAAGAATAGGAGATAAGAATAAGATAATTAAGTTACTTGATCTAGAATCCTAACTCTGTCTCCTACTATTACTAGAAATTAAAATAAGTATCAAATTCAGGTACAATTCTACAACTATTTACTTAATCCAGAAGTGGTTAACTGGCAGCCCGTGCATTGTAACCGGAACTGGTGAAATTATTTTATCTGGTCCAAGAGAATTTACAGAGAATTCTGAGCTAACTACATTTTGGCCAACTTGTCTTCATCAGAACTGGTTTTAGAGTTTAGCAACATTCCTTTATTAGGACAGCTCCTCGAATCCTCTGTAAGATTTCTGGGAACTGAAATCCACAAAAATAACTCCCTAAGTTTTGGTTGTCCTGCTATCTTTGTGGCATCACCCCCTATTGTAAGAACTGCATGAAGCTACTTTATCACAGATCAAACTATATGCCCATCTAGTGCAGTATTGTCCAGTGATTAGTTCACAAGGATTTCAGACATGAGTGTTTCTTGTTAACCTGGCACCTGATCTAAAGGGAGATGCCAGTGAATAAGCCTGGGACCTGACACATGCAAAACATGTCCTCCAAGACTGGGCTGTGGCCCTGCAAAAACTAACTTCCTAAAAGCATGCCTCTCACACATACTGCCTCTAAAATGGGAATACATTTAGACACCAGATTTAAAAGTTAACTGGCTCTTGTTTTTCTATTTAAACACTGCCCCATTTGATTTGTTTTTTTAAGGACAGTAAGCTGGGCATGAAATCCAAAACATATTTACTTAAAAGTACAGCGGTGCCTCGCTTGACGAGGATAATCCGTTCCAGTAAAATCACTGTTAAGCGATATCCTCGTCAAGCAAAATTAAAAAATCCCATTGAAACGCATTGAAACCCCGTTCAATGTGTTCCAATGGGCTGAATAACTCACCGTCCAGTGGAGATCCTCCATAGGACGGCCATTTTCTGCTCCCTGTCTTGCGAAAAAGCCTTCCTAAACACAGCGGGGAGCCATTTTGTACACCCGGCGGCCATTTTGAAACCTGACGATCAGCTGTTTTTGATCGTCGTAATGTGAAGAATCGGTTCCTGAAGCAGGGAACTGATCACCGCAAAGTGAAAAAACCCCATTCAAACATTGTTTTGCAATCGCAAAAACTTCATTGTGAAGCAGATTTGTCGTCAAGCGGGGTAAGCGTTAAGCAGGACACCACTCTAAATTCTGCTGAAATCCACTGAGACGTTTTTCCAGGTAAATGTACTTGCAGCTGAGGATTATTGATGGTCAATAAATAAATCATACCTGAGCTTCAAAGAAGCATATCGCAATGTAGCTCCTTCAAACTCTTTTAAACTGGGGTCTGGATTCACTGTGGCTGCATGAAGGTCCTGCAGAGGGAAGCAAAACCAAGCATGTTGAATAGGACAGGAGTCATTCCTTCTAACAGGTTAATTCTACTTTCAAAGATCTACAAAATTATTCCTGCAAAGCAGCAACGTGGTATGTTTGGCTGAGGTATGTTTTTTTTAAAAAAAGCATGCATGCATTTTTCACATTACAGTTTAAGTGCAAGCATAGTGTTGTTACAGGTGAGTATTTGCCTTGGTGAAATTCATTCTGTGTGGAAAGATGAGCATTAGGTAGCATGAGTAAAGTCTCTCCTAGCCACAATGACAAAATTTCTTCAATTTGGCTGATTAAAGAGAATGAGTGATATTTGTGGAAGGAAACAATAAACACAGCCATGGCCATGCAAAATGTCTTTTTTTAAAAAAGTGAAGCAAAAGTATTACAAGTGTTCTAAAGTCTAACAATATACTTGCCTTCCAAATGTCACTATTAATCTTTCCCCCATTCAGTACAGCAAAATCACTCCATGGCTGTTTCTAGATATATAATTATTCACATTGGAAGAAGCACATTAATTTAAAAAAGAAACAAAAGAAAAAGAAAGGATAGAGGGGAAAAAGAAAGAAAAAAAGGGGAAAACACAAACATGGTTGTTAGCATTGACATGTACAGGCAGGATTAGGGAGACGATCACCTCAAATTTCAACTCATTAATTTACTGTTCAGCCAGAGCTGGCTCAAACTGCGTGAAATAACAAAAAGATACACCTAACAAATTAAATTTTTGTTTCCCCTCCCAGCATATAATGCTGATCTGCATAGAATTTGCACACCAAGTAGTTGACCAACATATTATTTTTTCTTTTTCAGTTTTCAGTATCTGTCATTTTTTAACCTCTTCCCTTTTACAAATCCGTTAAGCCCCAGGCATCCAACCTAGAGCAAAAGGCTCTCATGTCTCCAGGACTGCAGGGGATCTTACCAAGCCAAAGTTCTGCCCAGCTGCCCTGTGTACCTCTTCAAAAAGTGCAAGCAGTGGCTCTCCCCTGCCCCGAGATATTTACGTAACTGAAGCACAGGCTACAGACATTTCAGAAGCCCAGCCACTGACATCACTTACTTCTACAGTTGAGCCAGCCCTGGGTACACTGATATTTGGTGGCTGCAGCAGCAGGAGTAAAAAAAAAAGCTATCAACAAGCTGCTTTTCAAACATTTCATTTACTTTGCAGACCACTTGTACATTGCAGAGAATCTCTGTAGGTCATGCAATAAACTTTTTTGCTATTGTTCCACCTATCAAAGCACGTACATAACTCATAAGCTTAAAAATATTTTCATCTTCAGCACTGGCTTCTTGGTGCTCGTTGCTGTGTGCTGTCAAGATGCCTCTGAGTTATGATGACCCTTTGAATGAGCAATCTCCTGTCCTGCTCAGCACTTGTAAATGCAAGCCTGTGATTTCCTCTAAGGAGTCAATCCATCTCTTATTTGGTCTTCCTCCTTCCCTACTGCCTTTAACCTTTCCCAGCATTATTGTCCTTTCCAGAGAATCCTGGTCCTGGCAACATTATTGAAACAAGTAGAGTACAGGGAAATTTTTATGTCTTCAAGGACCTATGGTTAAAAGGGCCCTCTTTTGCTGATACATTGGTAGAGAAATATTAGTGGTCGGTGCCAGCGCTGTATTTTAAAGGTCATAGGCCCTAAGCCACGACTATATTAGTCAGCTAAATAACCTAGGTCTGGTCAAAATGCCCTCCATCTTAGGCATCTAAAAAGAATAAACAAAGTGTAGGGCTGACCGCCGAAGAATTGATGCTTTTGAATTGCGGTGCTGGAGGAAATTCTTGAGAGTCTGCAAGGAGACTGCAAGGAGAACAAACCTATCCATTTTGAAGGAAATCAACACTGAGTGTTCACTGGGAGGACAGATCCTGAAGCTGAGGCTCCAATACTTTGACCATCTCATGAGAAGAGAAGACTCTCTGGAAAAGATGCTGATGTTAAGAAAGTGTGAGGGCAAGAGGAGAAGGGGACGACAGAGGATGAGTTGGCTGGACAGTGTCATCAAAGCTACCAACATAAATTTGACCCAACTCTGGAAGGCAGTGGAAGACAGGAGGGCCTGGCATGCTCTGGTCCATGGGGTCACGAAGAGTTGGACATGACTAAATGACTAAACAACAACAAAAGGGCCAAGCTGATATATCACTGACATCTGGAACCTTTCAATGGAACATCTAAACCGAATTCATGAACTAGTGTCATCAAAGCTACCAACATAAATTTGACCCAACTCTGGAAGGCAGTGGAAGACAGGAGGGCCTGGCATGCTCTGGTCCATGGGGTCACGAAGAGTTGGACATGACTAAATGACTAAACAACAACAAAAGGGCCAAGCTGATATATCACTGACATCTGGAACCTTTCAATGGAACATCTAAACCGAATTCATGAACTATCCTTGGCCGGGCCAAGTTCATATATCACTGACTTCTGGAACCTTTCCATGGAACATCTAAACCGAATTCATGAACTACCCTTGGCCTGCAGACTATAGTTTGGGAACCTTTGATCTAATGTTACTTTCCAAGACAAATAGGACAGGGGAAAATTCATATAATTTGGAAGACAGACTTGGGCTTGTACTTTCATTAAAGTCTTCAGATGAAAGGAAGCTAGTTATAAAGCTTGTTAAAATTGCCTTGGCCTCATCCATAATACCAGTGCATGTACTATTCACAGGTGTATTTTCCAGCTAACCCCTTTGCATTTGGTAGCTCCCTTGCACTTCAAAAGTCCTGGAACAAAGTATTCAATATTTAACAAATGGGGAATTGGGGGAGGAAAAAGGACAGGTTACTTACCTGTAAAGGCCTCATCCATAATACCAGTGCATGTACTATTCACAGGTGTATTTTCCAGCTAACCCCTTTGCATTTGGTAGCTCCCCTGCACTTCAAAAGTCCTGGAAGAAAGTATTCAATATTAAACAAATGGGGAATTGGGGGAGGAAAAAAGATAGGCTTCCTCTTGTAAATAAATACCCCACAGTGATCCATGAGATGACTCTGGGAAATCTCAACACTCATTATCTTTCCAGTAACTCTTCATTACTGCTCAGAATGCAACATTCAATTCTTTAGTTTAAAGTCTTTCCTTACAAAAATATACTCTAAAATCAAGCTTTTTTCGTACTCTATTCTTGTTTGCAGGAAGCTTTTGTTTGAAAAGACAAAGGAAGGGAAAAAATAGATGTTAGACATAATGTATCAAAATAGTACAAAAATCTTTCAGTTAATAAAGACATTGAAGATGCATCCAAGCCAAATAATAAATATTGGCAACTGGTAACAAAGCTCAGTAGTAAATATTAAAAGATATTATTACAAGTGGCCAGTAAACTGAAAGTAAGCTGAAATATTCTAAACAATGCTTTCCGAGATGGCCTAAGACATCTTGGTGACCAAGGCAGAAATTCAAGCGGTGCCCCAGCACTGTGGTAAAAAATATAGCAATAAACTAATATGTGAAAATTTGCTGCCCTTCCAATACCACTTCAAAATTCACACTACCTTCGCACTTGGCCAAAATCCTGTTGCTTAGTGTAGCAAATGGTGATACAGTAGGCCCATGGAGTCAAGTTCCATTGATTCGAATGGGCCTACTCTAACTGTGACTTATTACTCTAAAGTTGCAGTTAAGAGTAGGCTCGTTTGAAACAATGGAACTTATGGAGGCGATGACTCACCAAATTCTCATTGCACGTCTACTCTAGAGCAATTTACTACACTACACAACAGGATTTTGGCCATTAAATGACAAGATATATTTGTGGAAAGATTGAATACAAACCTAAATGAACAACTCCATAAAGTATTAAAATGTATTATTGACAGTACCACTTGTGTATATTAGGAATAGAAATGGTGGTTCATTTTTTTTGGCCAAACAGATGTTTGGTGCTTCCCAGCACCGCCTCTTCCAATGGGTGCCTACTCAGATGCAGGATCCTGGACATTTGTGGAAAGATTGGATACAAACCTAAATGAACAATTCCATAAAGTATTAAAATGCATTATTGACAGTACCACTTTTGTATATTAGGAATAGAGATGGTGGTTCATTTTTTGGCCAAACAGGTGTTTGGTGCTTCCCAGCACCGCCTCTTCCAATGGGTGCCTACTCAGATGCAGCATCCTAGATGCCCTGCCACCTCTTCCATGCACTGCCTCTGAGTGGGCACCCACCAGAAGTAGGCCCATGGAGTCAAGTTCCATTGATTCGAATGGGCCTACTCTAACTGTGACTTATTACTCTAAAGTTGCAGTTAAGAGTAGGCTCGTTTGAAACAATGGAACTTATGGAGGCGATGACTCACCAAATTCTCATTGCACGTCTACTCTAGAGCAATTTACTACACTACACAACAGGATTTTGGCCATTAAATGACAAGATACATTTGTGGAAAGATTGGATACAAACCTAAATGAACAATTCCATAAAGTATTAAAATGCATTATTGACAGTACCACTTTTGTATATTAGGAATAGAGATGGTGGTTCATTTTTTGGCCAAACAGGTGTTTGGTGCTTCCCAGCACCGCCTCTTCCAATGGGTGCCTACTCAGATGCAGCATCCTAGATGCCCTGCCACCTTATTTGTGGAAAGATTGAATACAAACCTAAATGAACAACTCCATAAAGTATTAAAATGTATTATTGACAGTACCACTTGTGTATATTAGGAATAGAAATGGTGGTTCATTTTTTTTGGCCAAACAGATGTTTGGTGCTTCCCAGCACCGCCTCTTCCAATGGGTGCCTACTCAGATGCAGGATCCTGGATGCCCTGCCACCTCTTCCATGCGCTGCTCTGAGTGGGCACCCACCAGAAGAAGTGGGGCTGGGAAGCACAGAACACCTGTTCAGATGAACTGCCGAACCTGTGGTCCATGCTCATCAGGAATTATAACTTTTGGTTTTCTCTGTCCAAGACACAGACATAAATTTGCTCCTTGTTTTTCCTTAGGCTGAGGAACATTTTCCTGCCAAGGGCCACATTCCCTTACAGTGGTGCCTCGCTTAACGAGCGCACCGTAGAACGACGAATCCGCATAGCGATGGGGTTTCAGCGATCGCAAATGCGATCGCATACCGATGGCCCCTATGGGCAAAAATCGCTTTGCGAAGATCGGTAAGCGTTTCGCAAAATGAAGCCCGATGATCAGCTGTTCAGCCGGAAGTCCCAAAATGGCGGAGCGCAGCATTTTCGCGCCCTGCCCTCGCTTACCGAGGGCGCGAAAATGGCTGCCGGCTATGGACAACATCGCTGAACGGTGAGTTTTCGGCCGATTTGGAACCCGTTTAATGCGTTCCAATGGGCTTCCCCATCCCGTTCAGCGATGTTTTCACATAGCGAGTGTTAATCCGGAACGACGGCTGACGAACATCTTCCTGCCAAGGGCCACATTCCCTTATAAGCTGCTAGCAGATACACACTAGTGGTGTGCTGGGCTAAAGTTGTGAATGTGGTAAAAGCCAAAAGTGTCCAAAGCCTCATCCTTATTTTCTTCCTTACTCAATGCCATCCCTTCTCTCTCTCCCTCAGTCCCCAGTCCTGCCCAACTAACAGGCTCATGGGGAAGTGACACATCATTCTTCTGAGAAGTCTGAACATATTAATTGCAGAGGATGTTGGAAACAATCATAGAAGGCCACACACTGCTTGTTTTTGACCTAAGACAGACCAGTCAACACCATCTCGGAAAAAATCTTTGTCCCTAAATTTTACTCACTCAGCTCAAGTATTTGCTACTTCTAAGACCTCATTTGGTCTGCAGGGATGTATTTTGTAATTAGATGTGCTCCTATAGTCCTGGAGGCTGCTTTCTGTGTGGCCATCTCACATTGGTGAAAGTTTTGTGCTTAGATTTTGAACCGCATTAGAAGTACTGGAGCAACCAAAAAGGCAGCTAATTATATTATACTGATTGTTCTGTTGTTACATTAAATCAAATGGTAATATTACACATATTTGGTTTTGAGAGCCACAGAATGGACCCTCCAAGCACAACTTGTCATTTGTTATGTTGTTATTAAGAGCTATCAAATCACCTTCAATGTATGGCAGCCCCATGGATTCATGATCTCCAAAAAGATCTTATTGCTAACAGTCTGCTCAGTTCTTGCAAACTAAAAGCCAAGGCTTGCATTATTGTGTCAATCAATCTCATGTTCAGCCTTCCTCTTTTACTACTGACTTCTATTTTTCTCAGCCTCTTCTAGTGAATCTTGTCTTCTTGTGATATGTCCAAAGTATGTTAACCTCAGTTTAGTCATTTTACTTTCCACTCATGTAAGCTTCCAGTGAGAGTTCAAGCTTTATTAGATCTTGTTCCCTACTTTCAGGAAGGTTTATGTAGAAAGGGGCTGCATTTGTTCAGAATAACTAAGGACTGATAGACACATTTAACTGTGATGGTCATTATAAAGCTGGTTTCTATATGTGCCTTGACAAGATATGGAAGTTTTGTGGGTGATCTAGATCATATAACCACTTTTATGCCAATATCCTCCCTCTAGGCTACTTGTTTTGGAGTGAAAAATACTAGTAGATTATGCAAACAATAATTAAGTGTCATAAAGTCAATTCCAACTTACGGTGACTTTTGCTGGTTTTCATAGCTCTAAAGTATTCAGCAGTGGCTTAGCAGTCCCTTTTCTGGGAAAGTTCTACAACTGTGCAGGCCTAAGGTTACATTGGCTGGCTATTTTTGCAGAAGATACAGTGGGGAACCAAACTCCCAACTCCTGGATCCACAGGCAGATAATCCAACTCAGTGAGCTATCCAGCCAGCAGTAGTTTCAACACCAGGCCATCTAATCAAAACACCATTACTTGTGTGAGATGAGGCTTGACCATAAAAATGGCTTCCTGTTAATTATTAAGGCTTTTCCTTCCTTGCTATGTATCTTTTCTAAGAAATGGGTATCTCCTGTTTGGCTTTACTCCTTTATTCTGTGCTCACAGATCCAAGACAATCATAAGTATTACAATCATAAGTGTCCACCCTCTTCTGTTTTGAGTTCTGTTTCATGGGCATGGTGACACATGAGAATAACCTGTTTGAAATAAATACAAATTGCCTTGTTATTGATTCCCCTCTTCCCTCCCCACACCCCACCCAAGCCATTTATTTAATGTATTGATCCAAACAATTTTTCACCTCTCCATGCATGCATAGCAGTCATACAAACGTTACCTCCGTTTCTGGAGTAGGAGATGGTGTGATAGAACTAAGTGATCCTTTCCGTGAGCCCTGAAGATCTGTTGGTATGGACACAGGACGTTCCCACTGGGTTGTTCCTGTTGGTATGTGCCAGTAATAGACCCCGGCAATGTCACTGATCTTCTTCCAGCCTGGAGGCAAGTCAGGGTCTGTCTGAAATGAATGATCACTCCATATATCTGCTGGGAATATAAATCCAATACAAGGCATGGTTGTTAAGATGTGAAACAAACTGGAAGGCTGTACAGTTTTAAATGATGCAAAAATATTATTGTTCTATCCCCAAATAAGATTAAAGAAGAAACTATGTATAAAACACATATTTTCCTATGAAGACAAATTAACACTCTTTCATATAAAATAGTCTATTATATGAATTAATTAGCATTCCTAAAACACCAGCACGATGCACATAGAACTGACCCCTAAAAATCAGATCAACATTATTTATTCACCAGGAACATATGGATAAATTTAACATATTTAAATAATCATGGCACATCTTTCTTATTTTACCAACTTTAATTCCCACAAGGGATTTGTATTGGTTGAATCTCTACACTCAGCTATTTAGAATCACAGAACATGATAAATTGACAAAGTGATTTTAGTGAGAGAAAGAAACAGTCATTTGAGAGAAAAAGCAAATTGTTCCAACTGGAATTTAAATAATTATAACCACACTAGGCAAATATACAACCAGGTTCACAATGAGCAACTTCTTACAAACCGAAAAACAAAAGATGAAAGGAAAATTATATATAATTATTCATTACTATAGGATACTATGTTGTAAAACTCAGAGAACCAAATATGAATGTCTTTGATGTTTAGAAGCCTCCAGCAGCTTTTATGCTTGAAAACAAAGCTCTACAGACCTTAAATAAGGTCAGTGTAACTAAAACAAACAAAAGGATCATGTGCATGTGAAAACAAGCACTGCAATATTTTACTGCTCTCCCCCACAGAAGAAGACGAAGACGAAGACGAAGACGAAGACGAAGACGAAGAAGAAGAAGAAGAAGAAGAAACAAGCACGCTCTACTGAACTAAATTCAAATGTAGTGTACGACATTTAAGATTGGTATCCAATTGCCCAAGGACACTTCACCTAAGTATATAAGCCTACTTTGTATTAGAAATACTATTTTTATTTGAAAGATTGCAGTATCCCATTCTGCTCTAGAAACTAACTACAAATACCTTTTATTAACAGACATGGAAAAGAGTATTTATGGAATTAGGTTAAGAAGTAACTTTTTTCTGGGTATTTATGTAACTCTAGGAATGTCAAAAGGAATCACACTTTGCATTGTTCCTGTCAGAAACAGACTGATGCATAAAGACCTTTTCTAAATTACAGAAAACATTACACAGACAATAAACAATTACTAGTCATAAAAATTCCACAAAAGGTACAATGAATTAAGATCCTCCTGAGGACTGAATTTTTATAGTACACATGGGTTTCCTTGATAATGCTGCCTTGCTGTCAAAGAGGCTATATGCGAGGAACAACATAATTTGTATAATACCAGATTTGTTCTACAACAGCAGCTTTCAAATCAGCAGCAAACAAGTTTATGGGAGATGCAAGGAACTAGCAAAAAATAATGAACATTTTAATTAAACAGCATGCCCCCACAAAAACATGGCTGTTTATAAGTGCACTGAACTCTTTCAGTACTGTTTTCCATAATATTACTGTCTACATGCCCAGTGTCATCGAAGCTACCAATATGAATTTGACGAAACTCCGGGAGGCAGGACAAAGAGCCTGGTGTAGCTTTCTTTAAAAGTCTAGTTTATGAAGTCTCCACTGAGGCGTCATCTTTAAAAAAAGGAATGATTTTGGGAATCAAGACCCTATCAACCCTCTAAAAAGAATACTTTTGGAGGAAAGCAATTCTATGAACAGAAAACAGTACCAGTGTTTGTAATAGTTGTCTGAGTCTGAATCATTCGGCCATCAACAAAAGTGTAGCTTTCTTTAAAAGTCTAGTTTATGAAGTCTCCACTGAGGCAATTCTATGAACAGAAAAGAGTACCAGTGTTTGTAATAGTTGTTTGAGTCTGAATCATTCGGCCATCAACAAAATGGGAGGCCAGAATGAAAGAAATCTTGTAGCAAAGGAACCATGTTTCTGTAAACACAGAAAGTTCATCTCCAGTTATTTTAGGCCAATCACCACCAGCTGTCTCCTGTCCTGGGAGTTGCAGTCCAAAAACAGCCTGGGACTCAAAGTCAGGAACTGCTGCTCTAGGCCATTGGCAACAGAGCTCACTCCCACAAATTGCTTGTCGACTGTATTGGAGACAGTAGTCCATAAAGTTGGAATACAGGTGGGAAACAATGCTGAGAAGATGCAGTCTCTAATTGGTTCTAATTGGATCTCTTAACTGTAATGAAGGCCTGAATCTCCTTGTATGACCCACAGTGTCTCATTATCTCTGGTCTGCCACTGTACAAACTGGAGATTGTCCCATTGCTTTTAAAAGAGCATACACATGCTGAATAACTTCTAGAGCAGGGGTCTCAAACATGTGGCCTGGGGGCCATTTGTGGCCTGCTGGATGATAATTTGTGGCCCCTGCCTTGCTTGCCCCCCCGAAGAGCCCATGCATCCTTTTCTGTCAAGAGTCAAAAAAAGCCTCGCCTTGCTTGCTGGCTCTCTCCCAAGACAGTGGCTCTTGCACCCTCCATCCAGAACTGCAGCCTGCCAGCTAGCCCGCCTGTCATGGTAGGGGTAGCTGCTACTGCTGAGTGCGCCTTTTTTGAGGGGGGCCCTCAGAGGAAGGTTGCAGGACTCCAGACCTCTGTGTGTGTGTGTGTGTGTGTGTGTGTGTACGTGTGCGCGCGCATGCACACACACCTGTGGGCCCCCCGCCCCGTTCTGTTTAATTTTGTGGGTACTGGTGGGGGCTTTTCTCCTTTGGCAAGGTGAATTCTGTGAGGTTTCTTTTTAAAATTTTATGCCGTGCCTTCCTCCCCATGGCTAGGCGGTCGCGGCACTCGCTCCCTTCTCTGCTTCTTTGTCCTGCTGCTGGTGGTAGTATGAAGAAGGAGCTGGAGGGGGTTGAGGCTGGCGATGAGGGCTCCTCCTCCTCCAAGCCCCAGCTGGGCTAAGGAAACTCCTGGGCGGCTTCCTCGGGCTCTTGCTCCGCCTGGCGGAAAATCCGATGCGGCCCAGCCTCACCCAGACTCTGCCTCCAGCGGCCCCCAGGTAAATTGACTTTGAGACCCCTGTTCTAGAGCAAGCCTCAAATATAGCCCCACCATTTGCTTTCAATGGTGCAAGAGTATAGGGCAAGAGTATTCCAGCCGGTGTTCTCAGGGAAGTATATACAAAAAATTTATATTTGCCTCTGAAAAAATAGTCTGTAGTGTAAATATTGGGATTCTGTGGAGAAATGCATAGACTTTCTGTGGATAAATTCATTCATGGATTTTTCTTATGACCGAAGTTTTTAAATCTTCTGCCAAAAAACTGAAGTGCTTTGCATAAGCCAAGTAGTTGTGAACCCTTTACCAGATGAACTAAAGTTTGCTGTAAACCGGTTTTCTAGCATACGAGCAACTGAGGACCTCACATCCTTTCCAACATTTGTGCATATGACATACAGGACCATACAGAATTATGCTATAGTATAGAATATAGAAACATATAGAATTAACTAGTACACTAAAGTTTATATACATTTCACCCGTTATTGAAACTTGTACACAGTTTTTTAAAATCACCGTACCCCAACTTCTTTTTCATTTCTTTCCACCTTTTCTTATATGATTTTATAAATAAAAATAAGTTACTCAACTGAGGGTTTTAAAAGAATGTTAAAATTTTATTTTTTTTAAACGGGAGATAGAAAAGAACGTCTATTAATTCAATTTTCTCTTTATTTAAAGACAGCAAAATGTGTGAAAAAATGACTTTCTGTATGACATTTTCTACAGTATGAACAACAGTCTGAAGCAAATCTTGATGTTGAAAATTTCAGCAAATAACTTAAAAAAGAAGGTAGGTGAGAGAGTGACTCCCCTTGCCATAAATCAGGACTGGGCAACCTTGGAAGTCCTAGGACCAATTTTCTGTGGCCAGCAACCATCCTCCTACCATCCGCTCCTAAATGAACTAAAGTCATGAAAAATCAAAACAATGTTGCTGGAAGTCTGCTTTGAATTTCACTTTTTTATGAGGTTTGGGAGTGGTCCTGCAGTCCTTGCAAAAGTATCCCTCCTGGAGGCAAGAGTGAAAAATAATTATTTTTGTCTGCGTAATTATTTTTGGCAGGAGGCATCTGGGGCCACAAAAAACAAACCAAAAAAACAACAACACTTTGATACCACTACCTGAATCCATCAATTCACCATCATGAAATCTGACAGAATCTGACTGTAGCAACAATCTGTTCTGTATTCCTTTATGTTACCTTTATGCCCACCTACTAGTTAAGCTGAAACAAGAGCAATTTTCTAAAGGAACACAACACTGAGAAAATGTTTCCACAGGAGATACACGTGGAGGCTCAGGGACTAGCTTTAAAAAACAGCAAGGTGTAATAAAACCTGAATAAAATAACACATTGCTGTTTTACAACTCACTTTTCCAGCTGTCAGCATCCAGCTGTGAGCATCTACCACAGAGCTGATTTATTGCAGCAATAAACTCCAAACGATGGTATGTTCAAATTCAGATACTGAATTTGGCAAGATGATGAAAGCAAATTTGGGAATTCAATTTGTATTTCAAGTGTGATAGTTTTACTACAGTACACTGAAAGAATAGTATGACTTAGTAAAACAAGGTGGAAATTAACTGCTATTGCAACTTGATAGTACTATTAACGATACATCAGAGTTGGTAGTTATTGGTGTTTTTAAAAACAAGCAAAGGCAATGGACTTTCTTCTTTACAGCTTTGTTTTTACTGCTTTTTCTTCTCAGGCAAAGGGCAAGAAATCATAAAGTGCCATAACGTGAATCATTTGTTCACCTCAATTCAATTAGACAAAGATAAAAAATGCAATAGGCAGCAGTATCTCTTATGGCATCACCGACCTGAAGGTGCAGCAAAATGGAGCCAATTTTCTCTTCCATTATTTTTCAATTCCATAAAGATATCTTTTCTTGTATGGCAGGTATCCCAAGGCCATTTTACAAGGTCAGCCATCCAAAAAATAA